TTTAAAGATCCTATTGCCTTCTATTTATATCATGGAGGCATTTAAGAGTTAAATGAAACTAGCTGACGGTGTGTGTGCATATGCACGCATGTGATTCATGCTTCACATGAGCCATTGTGACATCCAAACTCTCAAACACGCAGCCTTTAAATTGGTGCAAGTGTTTGTTGTCACATCCATCAGAAACACACACACACACACACACGGAGTCCGATCCAATGGTATTCCTTTACACCAAACCTGCTTTTCAGTTAAATCCTTCCTGTGTTCTACGCTAAAACTTTTCTAATAAAAGTTTTTCAAGGTTTTTTCCAAACTGTTGAACGGGTTCAAAGCAGCGTGTGTACCTCCACTGGGTTAACCGAACCTTTCTACCCTTTTTAATGTTTTTGCTTCCAGTGAGGATGGTCGGTTTAGAGTTCACAAAAAAAATAAAAATCAAACAAAATCCAAAGAATAAAACGAAAATGTCTGGAGAATGTTCGCTCTAAATTAGCTCAAGACTTTTGCATAAAAACAATTATTTGTGCTCCAGATATTGCAATATTACACATGATCTGCAAACACACTTGTATTTATATGCGTGTGTGGACCTTCATTGACTTCTATTCTTAGCGTTGTGTGGACCAGCAAAATGTCCCCATAAGGTGAAATGTCCACCGGTTACAGGTTAAAGTAAAGATGTGTCCACTTAAATATGTAAAGACAAGTACACACACACACACACACAGTTATACTCACAGGAACAACAGCAGCCATAGGTGTGTGTGTGTGAGTGATGTTCTGCAGTAAGGACAAAATCCTCAGCATCTGATTTGTTGCTTTTTTTTTATACCCCCTAAGATGTTCAGGCTTCACAACCGACCAATCGGTGTTCATGAATTTAACTCCGCCCTCCTGTAGCATCACTGCAGTGAGGTCACTCTCAACACACACACACACACCTGCTGATTCATGTTACACAGTCTATTATTAAGGACTTGTTGTTTGGGTATTTTTAGAAGCTGCTGTAATTCTGAGAAAAGCAGGAACAAACATGGAGGAGTGATTGACGGGTCGGATGCAGATAATCTAAGAGAACTGAGAATTTAAGTAAACTGATGGAAAAGGGGAGCTGAAGGTGAAAACTGCAGAGGAAAACAGGTGTGTGAGGTAAACCGGCGGTGTGAGGTGGCGATGCAGGAGAAAGAGATGCAGCGGGGCGTTACGCGTCGTCCTTCAGTGCAGTCGGACACATCGCTGATAGAAAGTTACAATAGATGACAGGTTGTCTCTGACAGAGGCTGTGCTTCAGAAGAAACAGGAGAAGGGCAGAACTCACAAACAGCTGATGGAGGAAAAGCATCAGAGAGACTAAAACTGGGAGATTTCTTATATTTATTCCTATTCGTTCTGTAGATTTATGTACGTATTTTTAATGAACGGCTACACTTTTATAACCAAACAGGACTGTTCCAGTCTTGTTCATAGCAAACAGATCCAACTTTTCCTCAGTGAGCAGCTTTGGAGGAGACTTGGGGATCGTTTTGGTTCTTTACTGCCCCCTGCTGGTGCCAAACATTTTACAAAGACATTTGTGTTTTCTTTCAAGGTTGTTTTATTATGATAAAACAGTAATAATCTAGTATGAAACGATCTGTGTTTGACTGATTATGTCTTTGTTTTTATGATGCTTCTTGGAAATAAATTCTGATTAGTCTCCTTTAGTAAACAGATAGAACTTGTACTATTCATGTGGAATTAGCAACATCAGCGTCAATGGAGCGTCTTCATACTAGTCACCATCTTGGGTCCTGATGCTAGTTACCAGTTTGGCTCCTCCGACTAAAACTGGTCACCACTCTGACTCCTCCTCCTCCTTCAGATGCTGGTCACCAGCTTTGCTTCTTCTCCTAATAGGCTACTGGTCATCAGTTTGGCTACTCCTCATTCTGATGCTGGTCATCATCTTAGCCCCTCCCCTCTTGCTGGTAGAACTCCACCAGGAAGTTGAAGGTCGACCAGCTCTGTGATGTTGGTTTCTCCAGCACACACTTCATCTCCAAGCTGTCCAACGTCTGTCAGTCAGGAGGCATTCGTGCACCTGAGACTGGATCACACCTGGCTGCACTTGAAGCTCATAGCAAGGGTGAACACCTACGGGAGGACATCGCTGGCGATACCCACATGTTCCGCTGTACTGTACATACAGCTAAATAACAGCTTTTCATGCACGACAAGCTAACGTTGTGATCTTTGAGGAACAGGTGGACCAAACTATGCAGGCTCCTGAGGAAAAAGTTCATTTATCAGGTGAAAGTAGAAGAAGTGTTGTTGGGTTTGAAGCTGAAGAACAGATTTTATGGCCTCCTGCAGAAATGCTGCAAGTATATCGTAGAATTAGATATTTCAAGGTCTCCATAATAAGTGAGATATGAAAAACTGACTGCAAGAAATCTATATCCTATAAAATAATGAAGTGTTTTAGTATCTAGTGATTTGACTGGAGTCGTGTAGTTATCTATAATAAAAGTCTCATTAAAACATTTCAGACAACGCTCCTTTTCTCAGTCATGTGTTTTGTTTTTGATTATTTTAGTCTAAGAGTGAATGTTGTGATTGTTTGAAATACAATCATTACCAAGAAACGCCCACACGTTCAGAATGTTGGTCATGTAGAAAAGACATCACATCCACAAAGTGCACATCAAATATGTTTTAAGATAGGAAATCATTGCTAATTATTTCAAATAAGAATGTCTGACATTTATTTTTAGCTGTTGTTCCACAACTGGACATTTCTGATAACGCATTAGCAGGACGAGTTGGCCCTTTGGACGAGATTCAAGTCTCGACTTGCGGCAGAAACCTTTATTATTTGAGAAAATGTGAAAAACAGCAACACGTATGAATAAGAAAGAAAATCTTCAATAGCAAAGGAGAAATTCAGCAAGTGCCACTGAAACAGTTAAAAGTTGTTCAATTCTGTTTTTCATGTCTGATATCTAAAAGGAAACTCTAAGAGTGAGGTTGTGTTCGTCTGAGATGGTGTGCGTAGATATTCGTGAGAACAGTGTCCGAGCTCCTCACCCTACCTCGGAGCTCGGACATTCGGGAGGGACTCGGAGTAGAACCGCTGCTCCTCCGGATCGAAAGGAGTCAGTTGAGGTGGTTTGGGCATCTGGTCAGGATGCCTCCTGGACGCCTCCCTGGGGAGGTGTTTCGGGCATGTCCTGCCGGCAGGAGGCCCCCGGGTCGACCCAGGACACGTTGGAGAGGTTACATCTCCAATCTGGTCCGGGAACGCCTTGGGGTCCTGCCGGAGGAGCTGATGGAGGTGGCCGGGGAGAGGACGGTCTGGAGCTCTCTAGTTGGGATGCTGCCCCTGCGACCCGGACCCGGATAAGCGGAGGAAGACGACAACAACAGTGACGGATTTAGCAATTTGGGGGCCCAAGGCGAACACAGACATGGGGCCCCCTTACACTAAATTTCCAATAATCTTATCTTTAACTGGATTTGCGAAACTATTTAGACGTGTTATTTTAATTAAAAAATGGCCAAAAATAAACTAATCTATTTAAGTTAAATAAACGCATGAGCAGCATCTCTATCAGAGAATAAAATGACGTTTTAACAACTTAGTGGCTCATTTAGGGGAAAATACTATTTCCGACAGCATTTTAAGACAGCTCTACACGTGTGTTTCATAGAGAGAAACGCTCCTACATCAGTACTCCCAGTTTACTTTTAAATCAGCCTTTTCTTGCATTATTTTACTATTTTTGTTATTTGTTTTGTCCAGTTTGAATAAAACACTATCTGATCCAGAAAGTCAAAACAAAGGCCGTGTTCGAGATGAGCCAGTTCTGCGCAGATTAGACCACCGCTGATCGGCGAGCAGTGCATGCCGGTTAGATTTGTGTCCGACTTGACGCCGACTTGCTCTGATGTCATGCCTACGTAGGCAACGATAACCTCGCGAGATCGAGGCGGCCGCAGATTTTGGAGCAAGGCGCAGCAGTTGCTCTCCACCGGCTGCAAAACCTAGAGGATGACGGGAGACACCTGGCTCTCACCTGATCTAAGTTCTGATTGGTTCACATTTTGATCCAAACATCCGGTGGTAGAACATGAAATGTTAGTTGGTCACATGTATTCTTTAAATCATGTAACGCTGATGATGACAACAATATAGGTCATAAAGAGGAATGTGGTTTGTGTTGTTTTGTCACGTTTCCTATGAGCACACTAAACCTACAGCTGATAACCTTTACTTATTATTACAGTCAGGTCTCCATATACAATATATGATATCCACGAGCACGTGAGGATGTGTTTCGGTTGCTAACAGGCACCAGAATTAAAATAAATAATTAAACCAGACTGGTTTAATTAATACTGGTTTATCCAGTATGAACTCTAACGCGATATCGTCATCCATCATGTACGGAAATCTGTCCGCCTTAAAGAGCAAGTCACCCCCCAATAAAACATTTTTTTGCTGATAAACTAAATAAACGAGTGTCTAATCGTGCTGCAGACACGTGTCGTCAATAATTTGGCACTTCAGTGCATCTTAGTTAAAATTTAAATATTCTGCCTAAAACTGGTAGTGTTGTGCCGTTGTCAGGTAAAAACTCTGCACTGTATTTTAATTTAAATCTGCCACCGCTATTGGCTAAGAGGTATGCTATGATGTCAACTGGTACATTATGATGTCACAATGCTGTCATGAGCCTGTGTGTGTGTGTGTATTTGTTAGCAGCTCCGCCTTCTCGGTCTGCTAGGCAACAGCATTTGTTGCATTTTTCAAACATGAAGTGGGAGTGGAGTAAGACTCTGGTAGGGGGTGACTTGCTCTTTAAACGCTGGCTTTCAGCCCCTCCTGCTGCGTCCGTCTGCTCTCGTCTGTTTTCCAGGCGAGGCGCAGCTCAACTCGAACACGGCCAAAGTTTTAATTAAAGCGCTTTACGGAAGTCACGTGACCTAACAACAAGACTCGTTTTTAGGTTCTAAACGTCTGATACGTCACTTGTTTTGATGTTTATGGATCAGGAAGTGAGACAAACTACGGACTCGTCGTTGTTCACCCCCGTGTTTAACCGCTCGGGTAATAGTGTGAGTTGATTGTGTGGATGATCACATCTGAACGGAACTTTCTCTCACTTTGAAGAATTGTTTTTGAACTTTCGCTCTGAGCGCTCTTCTTCCGCGCAACAGGTGCGCCAGATGATGTGTTGCATTTAAGGAACACCTTGAGCTCGGACATATGAGAGTCCTGGAATAAACGTGTTTGTTGGGGTTGATGTAACTGGTGTTGTTTAAAGTTAGAAACCGTCTGAAAGCTCGGGAGAGAACCGTGAGGTGTTGATGACATTTCTGAGTGACGTGTGTTTATTTTTGGGGCTTTTTCCGGGCTCGTGAGCGCCTCCCCGACCCCGCCCCTCAGGTCCCTGTCCTCTCCGCCTTTAGGCTCGGTCGGTGTCATCGGTGAAGTTGAAGATTCAGCTGTTTGCTCCCCGCTGACGAGGTCTCACGTCGCGCCTCTCCGCGTTCACTTATCGGTTCCGGTGGACCCACGCACACACCTCACTCTCAGGATGTCTCCGTCCACGTCCCCCCGGTTCTTCACCGAGAGGGAGGTGGCGCGCCACAGCACCACGGACTCCTGCTGGGTGCTGCTGGGGAGCAGAGTGTACGACGTGACCGCCTTCCTGCGAATGCACCCGGGCGGGGAGGCCCTGATACGGAGCCGCGCAGGGAAGGATGTGAGTCGGGAGATTGAGGGACCCCCGCACCGGCACTCGGAGAACGCGCGCTCATGGATGGAGCAGTACTACATCGGGGAGCTGGACACGGAGAGCGGCACCGACGAGGCGCAGGTAAAATCGGGCGGAACTCACCTGAAGTCACCAATAAACTTAAGATTTAACTTTATTCACACCGTTGTCTAGAAACCCCCTAATCAGACATTTAATTTTATTTATATTGGAGTTTCCAGAATGTTTGACACTTTCCTCGAGTTCACTCTGATAAACAAAATCAGACGTAATCTGGAGATTTATTCCTCTAACTGGGATTAAAAGTTGCATTTCATCACGGTGTGAGGAACATGCGGGTTCTGTGGGAAGCAGGTGTCCAAGTCGAGTCCCACCTGACTTTCTGGGCGTTTTCATCCCTGAACTCCCTGCTCTGTATTGATCCAAGGGACGGAATGGGGAGCTGGGTGTTCTGTGGTTGCGTAATTTCTGCGTGGTGGTGGAGCAGGGAGGGGCACGCAGGTGACATGCAGGTGACATGCAGACCCGTGCTGGATGGGCGTGGAAGGCCACAGTTTAAATAAATCATTCACAAGATGTTGGGAGGGTGAGAGAGCAGGCTAAAGGAGGTAACTGGTTTGTCTGGTCCCTGAAGAAAGGGTTAGTGGGGGCACTGGAAACCCTTCCCCTGCTGTTGTGGCATGAATCTACTGATTTTGCTCTGTCCATGCTCATGTTTCTTTGAGCACTCAAACATTTTGCATAATTCCTTTGCTGACAAAGTGCTCATTTACATGCTTGCCCACTCCAGATTGTGTCCTGGTTGCATCAAGTTCAACTTGAAACAAAATCCTGCTTCAAAAACTCCCGAAACGAGCCGTGGCCTGGTTTTAGTTCCCGTGGAAAGCTGAGATGCACAGATTATGGTTTAGAAGACCAATACCAACTAAAAGATTTTTCTACAGCTCTGACCTACTAACGCCACTTATCTAGTTACTTGCCTACAATAATGCAAATAAACAGATTGTGTTCATATCACATCTTTTTCACAGTTTTACTTGACTGTTTATTTCGGCTGCAAGTTTGGCTGAAAAATAAAACAAAATGTAATAAACGTGGTAGTTTCGCACAAAGATGCGTCATAAAATAGTCTGGAATCGGCCAAAATACAGCATGATCAACTTAGCTGGTGATTTTGAATTTCCAAATAAGCTTTTGATTGTGAAATAAAGATTTCCCGTTGCTCCTGAACTCCTCACGAAGCTAACTTTTCAAATTAATCAAAAAAGTGTAACAATCAAGTTCAGTGACCTTAGAGATGGTATCAGCTTTAGAACCAAAATCAGTCTTTACGTAATCTGTGTCAAAACGTTCTGAGTTCCAAATCTTCTAAATGATCCACGGACCGAGCTGCGAGTTTAATCCAAGGTCAAACGGTTGGATTTGTTTCTGCTTGTGTGGAAAAGTTTGTTCTTTGTTTGGATTTTAGATAAACGTGCATAAATAAAAGATAATGGGAGTTCGTGTCAGGGCTGAGAGCTGGTCAACCCTTTCTAATGACTGTAAATTAGGAAATGATTAGACCAATCAGCTGTTACTGTTCAACTCTGGAGGTCATGAGACAAATTTCCATTTCCATTCCCCAGGCTGATCTTTTTGTTAATGAAACATTAAGTTTAGGGTAATTTATCCTCCGGCTGAAGCTCTAGAAAAACTTTTGCTGCTATCTCAGAGGAGCTCTAACTAATGCTAAACCTGCTCTTTGGCCCATCTCTTTAATGATTAGTCTGTTGGTGGTAAGTGGCGTTTTTTTTCCCCAACAGTGCAGGCACTGGGCGTAGCTTCTAGTCAAACCGTGGGACTTTAAATGGACGTTAACGGTTCTGGTTCTACAGAAACTTCAATTACTTAAATTATAGTTGAGATCATTGGATGTTCTGGGTCAAATATAAGAATTATGTGCCTGCTGCATGGTTGAGCCTCAGATTTACTGTAAATTACCATCAGCTGTTGAGTGATGCAAACAAATTTACATTTTTTAATTTAGATAATTAAGATAATCTTTATTCCAGGGGTTGAAGCGCTTATAGCATCCTTTTTTTTTCCACTTTAGCTCGCAGTGAGTGTATGTTCTGATCTGATGATGACGTGTTTTTATGTAATGGCAGCCTCGCCTCTGTCAGACCTCCCCAGGGCGGCTGTGGCTACAAGTAGCTTACCACCACTAGCAGTGTGTGAAAGCGTCTTTGGGTGTCTAGAAAAGCGCTATATAAGTTCAATGCTTTATTATTATTATTTTTATTATTATCTTGCTGTTGGTAGATGATTAAAGCTGGTGTGCTGAGTGTTCGTTCTGATTGCAGCGACAAGTTAGATAAACGAAGGCTCGTCATAAAGAGGGTTGACCTCTGCAGAGTAGAAACCAAGGCAGCTCGCATTTTATTGTCCCTTATCTGACTCGCTTTGGATTGTGGGAGGAAACGTTAAAATGCCCAAGCGTGGCGTTCAGTGTCGTTTCTGTAGGACTCGGTTCTCCCAACATGATTTCTGAGGCTTTTCCATCATCTCAGTTTTATCTTTGATTTTCTCACAGGCAACAAATCAGACGTCTCACCCTTGAACGTAAACTCCTTGTGATAAAGCATTTATCTACATAGTATTTTATACGTAAAACAAACATATTTTACTGTAATATATATAGAGATTTAGATAGATATATCAAGAGCAGTGTTGCCAACTCAGCGACTTTGTCGCTGTTCCTAACGACCTTTTGACCCCCCTCAATGACTTTTTTTTTCCCCCAAAAAGCGCCTAGCGACAAACCTAGCGACATTTCTCAGGACCCGTTGCTGTAGATCTTTCCTGTAGATATTCCCCACAGATTAGCAACAAAGAAACCATTTGCACTCTGAACCGTTTTACCGGGAGTAAGGAAAGAGAACGATAATCTGCACATGTGATGTGCACGAGGACTGACCAATCATAAACCGTTTTCGGCCGGGCTGATTCGCCGAAGACAGAGTACAGCTGCAGAGCTGGAGACCGCCGACGGCTGCTGCTGCTGCAGGCTCACGCTTCTACTAGAGACGGTGCAGGCGTCAACCTGCGACCTCTGGTTCTGCAGCCGTCAGACACTGTTTTTTCCTGCATTTGGCAAATAAAGTCAACGGGAGTTTCAACTACCGTCCCGTTTACACACGCAGCTCTGTGGCTCGTCAGAATTTCCTTCAGTGACACAGGGATGGTTACACCATGAGACACCCGCTCCCTTTTGCTCGGTGCGCCGTTACTATCACGATGGAGAGAAAACACAACAGAGAAGTACAGAAACTATGAGGTGTAAAAATAACCCCCAGCTTTTTAGGAAAATGTCTGTGAGAATGAGGAGAGCAGGTCTGAGTTATGTCCTACTACAGAACTGTTTGGATCACCACACCATATCGGTCTTAATGCCACTTTATTGGTACTTTTGGAATTTATTGTACATATCATACTAATTAATAACTTTAACACATAACATCATTTTTATTTTCCTCCCTTTTAGTCATATATATATATATATATATATATATATATATCTTTTAGATGCTATGGGGAAAATGAACGCCAATGTGGCGTGATGACATCATCAGTATGTAAATTAGCGTGTGACGTCACCCGGCGACATGTAGCAACTTTTGGGGGGAACTTCAGCTACTTTCAGTCAAAAACGGTTGGCAACACTGATCAAGAGCTCATCTGGAGTCTGTTGTTGATGCCTTGGGTTTCTCCTGAGTGGACTACTGTAATGCGCTGTATGCGGTCCTTAGTCCAAAACTCGTCCGCTAGGTTCTTGACGAGCACGATGCGCAGGGAGCACATCACTCCTGTTCTGCACTTCAGGGTGAAACTCAAAGCGCTAACTCTGGTGTTCTCTTCAGGGGACTGGAGAGCGTTTTGGACAGGCATGCTCCATCAAGAACCCTCCGTTTAGGGAATTGTTGGTGGTTCCGTGTTCCCGGTGCAGGTCACGGGGGGGGTGGGGGGGTGGGGGGGGGGTCGTACATTCTCGGTGCTGGCTCAGAGGCTGTGGAATGAATTGCCTTTAACCGTGCGCCAGTCACCCTTTTTGCTGCTTTTAAGTCCTGTTTGGCACATTTCTATGTTCTGGCTTTCCACCAGCAGTTGTTGTAGCGTGGCTTCATTGTCCAGCATGTCTTTATTGGGTTTTATGTTTTTATGGCTGTTTTTAAATGTTTTTCTTGTTGCTTGTTATAGTTGTTTAGCACCTTGGGCGTCCGATAAGGTTGCGGAAGAAGCTTTATAAATAAAGTGAAATGAATGAATGAATGAAAGATGAGTCTAAATCAATTCCACATCTGGTATGACCACCCCCTTCAAAATAGCATCTGATCTTCTAGCTACACTAGAACACGGGTGATGAACTGGGCTGGTAGGTTCTTCCAAACATCTTGGAGAACTAACCACGGATCTTCTGTGGATGTAGGCTTCGACACATCCTTCTGTCTCTACATGTAAACACACCCACATCACCCCGCTTCTCCTCCAGCTTCACTGGCTGCCAGTCAACTTCAGGGTTCATTTCAAGATCCTGGTTCTGGTCTATAGGGCCTTACATGGACAAGCACCATCTTACATTGGTGATCTTCTCAGTCCCTACACCCCCAGCAGGTCCCTGAGGTCCAGTGACCAAAGCCTACTGGTTGTGCAGCACCAGGCTAAAGGTCAAAGGTGACAGATCATCTGCTGCTGTGGCCCCCAGACTCTGGACCTCTCTCCCCCTGAGCCTGAGATCAGTGGACTCAGTGGTCTCCTTTAAAAAGCAGCTGAAGACTCACTTGTTCAAGCTGGCTTTTGTATGACCTTCTTCACCTCTCTCTCTTTATTCTGCTCTCCCCACCTATTCCACCTTCCTCAGGATCCACTGGTTTCCCTCTTTCCTGTTCACTCTCTCTCTTAACATATTTTATCACAATTGTCTATTTTTTGCTCATTTTAAATATATTTGTAATCATTTTCTAAATGCTTTTTTTATATTTTTACATTTTTTGTTTTTGTGAAGCGCCTCGTGATTTTTTTATCTTGAGAGGCGCTGTAGAAATGATATTTTCTTCTTCTTCTAC